GGCGAGTCATTAAAAAATTTCCTTTCCGGGGCAGTCATCCCCGCCGTGCTGCGACTTGCCCAAGTAAGGCCGGGCGCCTTGGCCGCGCAGCCCGCGTCTCACCTGCGTGGTACGTCCTGGACCGCGCTGGGGGATGCCACCGTCGTCTGCTGCTCCCCGGCCTCCCTTAGGGCCACGAGGCCTCGAAACGGGGCAGAGACGCGCCGGGCTCTGCAGTGGCGGGAGTTGTCCTGTCGTTCCAAAACGCGGCCCGTTTTTATCCATGAGTAGGTGTGTGTTTCATTTCTGTACCTGCCACGTCTCTCTCTGCCTCGTGTGCGAGGTGGCCAGCGTCTCCGTTGTCTCTGTGCCTGTCAACCTGAAAGTTGCTCGTGTGTCGCGTTGTTGTCTCGGCGTTTCAAAGCGTCGTCTGCAAAACTTCTTTCTGACTTTACAGTGATTTGTTGGGTCTCTTCTTACAAGTGAATTCTTAGACATCTGGGTGTTGCAGCGGAGAAGCAGAAGCTGTTCAGCAGCTTTCCACTAGCGTGGTTTAAAAAAAAAAATAATAAAACCTTTTAAGATACGCTAAATGAATCCATTAGTAGTCCCCAGGGCTGTACAGTAAAGGGTCTATGCCATTTCATTGAAATCTTTCTATTCCTGAATGGAATAGAAAGATCAGAAAGTTCACTAGAACATACTTTCATCCTTTCCTAGAGGAAGTCAAATTTGTTGTGAAATGCTATAAACAGCACGCAAAAAGCTGTCGTTGTTAGAAGGTCAATCCCGTTATGTTTTGGCATTTAACGCCTAAGTGTGTACAGTTTTTCAGTTACTGTGTTCTACACAGCAGCTGCTTGCTATTTAGATTTTTATAAATTTCCTCTTTACTGTCAGCTCCAGAGAAATACTGCAGAAAAGACGGGACATTTGTCAGCAAGGTTCTATCTTTAGGTGTCAAATGCAGAGAGAGGAAGGAGTTTATTGTTTTATACTAAGTTTGGCTGACAAAGCTAGATTTGAGGAATAGCCTGATTTGACATTTTCAGCTGAGTATATCTGTGATTCAGCCGTGCTGGAGTAAAGAAATTTGCATTAGTGAGATCTTGGATGGGGGTGGGCTACAGCTACAGAAAAAGAAAAGAACTGTGACTTTATGATAACCGAAGCTGAATCAGATGCACAACACATTGCTGTAAAGCCGTGTGATGACAGCAGTTGGTCCCACACAAGAATATGAATTTGAAGGATGTTTGCAATATGAATATGAATATGCAATTTGAATATGAATTTGAAGGATGTTTGCAAAAGATGCATGTTTTGACATGACAAAAACTTGGCGGTTTGGGAACACTCTTGTTCAGTTTACTTGCATCCAGGTATCTGTGTTGTGCTATAGTTCTTAATGATTATTGGCTGAGTAAAATTTAAGGGAACGTGTGAGGTGAAAGTTTTAACACTGTACTATTGAAATGCTGTATTTTGTCAATTTATTTGTCTGTGCTAAGTTGCAGAAAGCAGAGTAACTATATTTCTATTGCTTTTCAGCTATGAGAAACCTCCCCCGGGGCTAATTAAGGTTGGTAAATATATTTCAGCAAATTTTTAACATTACACGGGGTTTTCACCCAACCTGTCTTTAGCCATCTGCCTTAAGTGTCTAGGTTATCCATATAAATTACAGAGAGAAGCAGGTGCTTCCAGAGGACAATTTGGAGCTCCTCAGTTACAAGCCGGTCAAGGGTAACGGAAAAAGAAAATGAGGTAACATTACTAAAAGAGTCAGGTATTTTGCATTCTTTATGTGTTACAAGAAAAAGAAATGATACAGAAGAAATAGGTTCCATGTTAAATGACAGCCTGTATGTACTCTTGGAGTATTAATTTTTTACAAAGTTTTTAAAAAATGATTTTTATTGTCCCTATCTTTTTCTATAGGAGAATGAAACAAAACCAGAAGACTGCATACCTGATGTACCAGGCAATGAAAGTGCACGAGAATTCCTGGCACATGCCCCAACAAAAGGGCTTTGGATGCCTTTAGGAAAGGAAGTCAAAGTTATGCAGTGTAAGGGTGACTATATGCCAGGCGTCATTGGACCTTCTCATATCCATCCTTTTACTCTGGGGGAGGGCAGGATGTCTGGTAGACAGATGATGAGGTCCAGGTAGACTGGCATCACATTGGTATGAAAGCAACTAGTACCTTGAAGGCTGTAATAGCTTTACGTTTTATGGAAGTTGCATTTATCAGCAAAACACTTGTATCTCTATTTGTTCCAACAAAATTAAGATATTTTCAATATAAATACACTTCTTTTTTTTCCTATTCTGAGCTGGCTCAGAGATGCAATTCACTGCTGCTTCTTTTTTTAAAGGTTGGAGGTGTAAACGTTATGGACACAGAACAGGAGATAAAGAATGCCCATTCTTTATTAAAGGCAATCAGAAATTGGAACAATTTAGAGTAGTGAGTACAAATACTGTAGTATTATTACTTGTATTTTTAATACTGATGATGGGTAATCGTGCAAGTGAGGAGAAGCTTATTAGATGATGCTCTATTAAGGACTTTTCCTGTCTCAAGTGGAATGTAGATGCCGAAAATCTCCTAATAAAGAAAAAGCTACAGGTGTGGTTGGACGTTTGACTACTTTGCAGAAAATCTACTCTTCAAGAGGAAAATAATTAATATTTACATTTAAATTGGAAATCTTCAAGAAGCTGTTTCAACCATTATATTCAATCAACCCTTACAGCATAAGTTTTAATGATAAAATAACAACGTAACAAAAAAAAAGTTTAGTCAAGCTTGAGCTGCCCTCATTACAGCTGCTTCAAGCCTTCCGCTCTCACTGTGAACAACCACATCATGAAGCCTGTTGTCTAGGTCTGTAGTCCAGTCATTGTCTACAATTCTGATTTCCTGCTACATGAGGTTACGTCTTAGTTTTGCAGATTCTTTCTGCGTTCCTTTGTCTTTAAATACAACTTTTCCTATTGTTCCGCACTGTTAAACTGAATTTCAAACTCCCATCATTGTGTTGTATGTCCTGCTTTCTAGCCTTGAAAACGCAATCTGGACTCATTCTGGCCAATCAGGATACTACTGCAAATAGAATTTTTAGAGCATTCCCATGACCAGATTGCTTCTATCCTTCATTTTCCCTCAAGCTTCTTCTCTGTTGCATCAAACTCTTGCTTTATGTCCGAGGCCTTTCATGGTGTATTCCCAACATTTTTCATTTACTGCTGAAAATTCAGTTCCCACTGTTGGATCAACATTTGATGTTTTTTGTTTTGGGTTTTTTGCTAAATTTCCAACAGAAATGATAACATCTTTTTGCTGCTTTCTTGTTTGGGATGAACTCACCTTAAATATCTGCAAAGTTTATTTGCTATCTTCTTTCAAAATTATCTTTTGCTGCAATGCAAAATGTAAAAATCAAGAATGGTAATATGTAGCATGCTGGGACAACTCATAGGTCATTACCTATTTGTCTTATATTCCCTGCTACTGTATTCCTGCATGCTTGTATCCAGATTTTTAAAATGTGCTATAAAGGCACAGCTCTTATTATTTTGAACTTCAATATTTATTCTTTGTCTAGCTATTCCTATAGTACCTCTGTAGGGACTTGTTAGTAATCTGTGTTTGTAGAGAGAGAGAGTTAGGATAGCTAAGGAGAGCCCTCTTCATCGTGTAACTAGATAGGCTTTTCCTACAGTAAAAAAATCAGGCCAGATTAACCACAATGTTTGCCAGAGTCTGAGAGCATGCTTGTTAATTAAGAGCTTGCTGAGTGTAATTCATCTTTTGATAAAAGCCTCTGTTGGGTTGCTTTTAGTTATCGTGTTGTTTTGCTTTTTCTTAAGAATTACAACAGTCAGTGATAAAACCTTTTCTTTACCAAAATCGGATTTCTGTTTTCCACTTCCAAAGGCACATGAAGATCCAATGTATGATATAATAAGAGAAAATAAACGTCATGAAAAAGAAATGAGGTAAGCGCATCTCTAGTAAACTGCATTTTCAATTTAAGTTCTTAACTTTGATAACATGTTATTAATTTGAAGTGTAAGTGAAATGTCATTGTAAGTTACTCACACCAGCTCAGAACATCTTTTAATGGGAGTTTCTTTATGTTAACAGAGACTAATGCTTTTCTGCTTTCTTAATAATCACGCAGTAGTATTTCCTACCTCTCTTTAATTCTGTTAGCTTCTATATTTTTTTCCAAAACAAAATTTTAAGAGAAATCACATTCATTTTCACTGTAACTTTCAGGTACTTAGGTTTTTTAGGCACCTAATAAAAACAGTTCAATTCTCATTGACTTCATTGAGATGTTTTCTAAAATTCTATACATTAAAGTGCTTTTGGTAGACATGTAGGTATGGATTTAGAAAGCTAGTTTCAGACCCCTGATGATGCTTCTTATATGAAGCCATTATTCAATAAACAGAACGGCAGAGTTTGTTAATGCTTTCTTATCTGTTGTACTGCATCACTAAGATACTGGACAACCTTTAACCTGCAGGTAGCACATGCAGTTGTACTACTGCTGCAGATAAGTTGCTTTTTTTTTTTTTTTTTTTTTTTTTTAAGCCAAATTCATGGAGAAGATACTGAAGACAATAAGATAAGCAAGGAGTCTCTCCCCGTTTGCTAGGAATCCATGAAAGTATAAGGAGTGTTGCCTCTCAGAGATACCTATGGATCTAAAGTAGACTCTGCTCTGCCTCACTGACACTGTCTGTATCAGCAGGGAATTAATTGTGTGTCATAATCCCAGTATGCATCCATGTTTGCATAAGCATAGAACTTCTTATGGTAGTCTGACGATAGCTGTTGCCTCCAACAGTTTTGCATACATATATTAAATTACATATTGGCCGATAACTTAGTCTTTCTTTGATATCCCATGGATTGGAAAGTCCTTGAGAACAGAGTATATGCTTGTCTGAAGAGAGGTTGCCTATATCTGTTTGTGAAAACTGTAACTGCGGCTATAATCCAGCAAAATAGAAAGCGTTCCCCTTCTTCTGCATGTAGCTTCCATCACTCAGGCTAGGAAGGAAACAAATGAAAGCTAGAATAAGTTATGATGTGTAGGAGAGCTAAAGAAGATTCTCATTCACATTTTCAAATGTACTCAGGATACAGCAACTGAAGCAGCTCCTGGAAGACTCTACCTCAGAAGATGATGATGATAACAGTGATGACAGCAGTGAGGATGATGACGACAATAGCAGCAGCTCCACTTCCTCAGAATGTAGAGATAAACACAAAAAGAAAAAGAGAAAGAAGGAAAAGAAAAAAAAAGAAAAGAAGAAGAAAAAAAAGAAAAAGCATAAATCTTCTAAATCTAATGAGAGGTTGGAATCTGACTGACAGCAGGTGCCTGCTGCATGCTTGCTGACCCCTACTTGTGAACTGTAAGAAAACATCCAAAGAATGAAGAAACAACCACCAGGAAGGGCTTTGTTAAACTCAGAACACAGAGATGGATACATTAGCATCCTACATTGGCTCTTTTCTTCTGCCCCTCTGCATCACTGCAGCCAGAAAAGAGAGAGATGCATTAAACAATACTTTTACTCAATCAACCGTTATCTCTACGCTGCAGAACCTGTGCTAGGGTCATCTAGCCAGGTCGGACTGGGCCTCTGCATTCTCACATGTGACAATGGCTACAAAGCAGTGACTACCAAAGTATTGCTAACAGATCAGCAGAATTCAGCAGACTGTCTACTGAAGTACGTTTTCTCTGTGAAGTAATCTCATATACAAACCCTCATTGCAACGGGGACTGCAGTTTTCACTGTGCAAAGCATTGACACTTCATTTACAGTAATTATCATGAGCATTTTGTACTGTTTTTTTTTTTTGCATACTGCTGGGTGATGAAATTCACTGTACTCATCCTAGCACTGGCAGCTGGGGAAATAAAAAGCTTTGCTGTGGGGGGGGGGGGGGGGGGGGGTGGGCGCGAGTTAAGCAAGGGGATTTACTTCAAGACAAAACTGCAGTGTTAGCAAGACTTGTTTTTAGAGAGAGCAAAATCTCACCGTCATCACCATTAAAAGGCAGAGTTTTGCAACGCTAAGTGTTCTCTAAACCATAGGATTGGGAGCCAAGCATAAGAGTTGGATGTTAAATACTCAGTTGTACTGTAAAGAACTAACATTTTTAGTTAAGAGGGGGGATGTTTTCATGTTGGAAATGAAGATGTGCATTTCTACATACAGCTCGGTATCAGTTGTTTTGATACATCTTGAGTTTTTTTCCTTTTTAAAAAGGCTTGGGGAAGTAAATTCCAACTTATTTTGTACATTTAGTAGTTATTGTGTTTATTTTATGAATCATACTGCAAGAAGAACATAAATATGTGGAAGCATTTCAAAATGGTTTTCAGGTATATGCATGTGAGCAACAGAATAGTAGCAGAGAACCTATAAGCTGAAAGAAGGGACAGTTACGCGTATTTAACTAACCTTGAGGACTGACAGCAAGATTTTCTTCTGAATAATCTTGCAAGGCAGATGTGACTGAAAAGATTGGTACAGCTATAAACTACATTAGACCAACTGTCTCTTTCTGAAAGATCAACAGTTAGTGATACAAATCTGATTTGAGGACCTAGATGTTTATTGGTACCTTGCAAAGAATAAAAAGAAATGTAGATTTGCTCTGAAAGGACTAGGTCATGTTTGATCCTGTACAGAACCTAGTCTCTTCAGTTGCATTTATATCAGACAAAATGTATAATTATATAACATCATTGTCCATTAATAATGAAATTCAGGAACAATAGACTAAAATGCACTTAAGAACATTTTTTGAGAGCTCTCAACCTTTGGAAGAGAAGACAGGGAGAGCATGTTAAAAAATGTGTTTTCTCCAACCTTTAAACTCTGAAGCATCTAAAAGTCATTTAGTAAAAACAAGGCCCCATACCTTGTCAGTCATGCACAGTACTTTCTGTGAAAAACAAGGTGGACAAGGCCTACTTATAAGAAGATTCTTTACCTCTCTTTCCCCTCCACTGCTTTGGTGATTTTACATCTTGAATAAGCAATAGCAACAAAAGGATAAACCCATTCACTGGTAAAGCATGTGATCTTAGGTATCACTATATCCTAGCAACTTTATAAGAAGGTGTATTGATCACAGCAGTAGCTTCAGGTGGAACTACTCAGATTATCATAGTGCTGGAGCTTGAATATTCTGGAGTTGTTTTATCCTGCAGTGCTGCTGTTAAGCAAATCTCCCTGTAATGGGATTTACTCACCAGTGACTCCCAGCAGCTCTCTATATCAGTATTCTCATGAACTATTTAGAAGCTCCTGGTACTTTCACCAGAAAGAGATTTGAGAGGTGAAATGGCATGAGAAGATTTATAATAGCCTGGCTCTTTCACGTGTTCTCTGTACTCCAACATGTGATGCTGAGGAAGAGTGCTTATAGTATTGGTGATTGTTGGAAAGATGCTGGAAACCATGATTAATTAAGTACTTGCCCGGTACATTCCGAGAGACATCTTGCACAGGTTTCACTAAAGCAGAGCCACCCCAAAGGCCTCTTTGGTTATTCTAGCTTTTGTCATTTAAGATTCTTCTGAAGCTTAATTTAATTAAAACAAATTTATATTTCCCCTCATAGTCTTTCATCCCTCCCCTTGAGCTGTTTTATGGAATTTTACCTATCAGAATTCACTGTTTGAACAATCAAGAAGAATAACTTAAAGGAAGGGCATTCTCTTTTATCAGATGTCATTCAAGAAGAACCTGTTTTGAAATACTAAATCCACATTCTCTGTCAGACTAAAGGTCCATATCTTTTCCAGTGGTGGTCAATAGTAGATGCCTAGACAGAACAGGGCAAGCTGTAGTGATATTTCTGTTATTTCACCAAAATGCTGCCTCAGCCTCCACTGCTTCCAATTCAGGTACTTTGAGTCATACATGATGTTTGTTTTTAGTAGCCTTCTGTGGATTTTTCTTAAACATCTCGTCACTTCTTGTGAACTCTAGTATTCAATTTCCTTCAGCAAGGAGCTCTGCAGATTAGTTATACAATGTCATGAAACGTATTTTCAAGTTGTCCCCTGCTCATTTCATACACCCTAGTTCTTGTTTTGGAAAGCATGTGAACAACCAATTTCTATACATCATCTCCATGCTATTTGCAATTTATTATAGATTACTATCATATTCCCAGCCCCTCCATCACTCTGAGGGTTTCTTCTTTTTAGTCTTTCCTATTCCACGGTCTTATAAGACTCCATTGTCTTATTTTGATTGAAAGATCTATAATTAATCTTTCCCAACAGAAGGCAGAAAACAGGGCCTCGTAAAAGGGAAAGTTTCATGCCACACAGGTACCAGCAAATTGAAAATTAATATAGAATTAAAACCTAACAAGCCAACACACCACTTGCTCCAGCTTAGTGGTTACACCCCACCCGCTTTAACAGAGGTTGTAGCTACAAATAATGCTTTAGAAATTGAGTCTCACACAATAAATCTGTCCAGCAAAACAGCCAGTATGGGAATCTCAGAGGCCTCTGCTGTTTGTTGCTGTTTTGCCAAGAAGCAAATAGATTCTTCAACTGCCCTTCAGTAGATTTTGCAGAACGTGTGCAATCTTCAAAGTCAATACAATACTGCTACAGTTACAAGCTTATAATACTGCCAGTACTGCAGTTACTCATCACCAGGCTATCAAGCTTCAGAGGGAACAAAAAACTGACACATACGTGCGTGTCTAACTAGAAATTAGATCTCGGGAATCATTGTGACTAGTTACCTGATTGAATGAAAGAGCCTGGCCTTTGATTCATAGCCTTTTAAAATACAGTTTGTAGTTCACAGCCTTTCTGAACCACAAACATTTTATCCACTGGAACTTTAAACATGGTTCTAGGCCAGCTAACTGAAGATGCAGTCTGCAAGTCATCAATGCTGCTTACTGAAGAAGGAAAAAACACTGGAAGACTTACTTTTAAGGGCACAGTACTAGCTTCCTGTCAGAGTAGAGTACACCATATATAACAACTATCCAGAGGAGCATTTTTGGAGCACTTTAAGCATTCACGCACGCTACTTTAAGCGCAGAGATAGGTTAATAGCATGGGTACAGTACAAAGTTAAGAGATTCATTCGTAATAGCACTTGTTTTCAGACAGAATCCTGTTTACACACTCCTACTCCCTCACACATTCTTGGGAGCTTGTATCACCAGGCCCTAAATTAGTTCTTAGATCTGGCTAGAAAGCACAGACCAGTATAAGACCGGTGAAAGGATGGAATAGCATGATTTTGGGAGGAGTACCTGAGAGATATTAGCCATTCCCAAAGAATGCCTTCTACTGCCTGACTATTCCCCTTACCAGAAAAGGATCAGAAGATAGCCAGTTAAGTCTGTTAGCAGAAGTGGCTTAGTATTCAGTACTAAGGCTGCACTCAAGTTCAGGGAAAAAGTCAATCCTTACAGGTTTCAGCTACTGCCGAGGCTTACTTCTAGGTTGTCACTTAGCCTCTGAGTTGAGCAGATTCCAGCACTCATTCTGCCCCATCAGAATAAAGTCTGGGAGAACTGTCTCCCCTCTAAGAAAAAGATCACTTAGTCCTGTATTATTCAGGGCAAGGATAGTATGAAAGAGCTCTTTGCTTGAAAGAATCCTCTTCCTTTTTCCCCCCTTTGAGGTTCTGATAACGATGGATGTCCTTAATAGGACAATGGATGGCTTTATGTAGCACAAAAGCCAAATAAGGATTTGTATTCTGTACTTCCTTGTAGTGTTCAGACTAGAGGGGAAAATAAAAACTTGGTATCACAATGTTAATGTGGATCCTTTCCCCCAATAGCTTGGGGGAAAGATAATTACTGCAGCTCTTTAATAAGTAAATTCCTACAAGTGGTATTAACAAATAGCAAGATCAAGGATCACTTGGGGGGGGGGGAGGAAATCTCAATAGTCCTCACTGACATGAAATACAGTGTAAGCTCAGTTACAGGTTAAATTGGTAATAGGTATGCACAGAGCTTGAATGCAGCTGTAGGAAATGCTACTTTTGTCTCCATGGGCTATTCTAGGGCACAGACAGAATAAGTGCACGGAAAGAGGAGGCTGAGGAGGCAGAAGATAAGACTTATCCCCAGTTCCCCCCAAATCCCTTAAAGAAAAACTGGTTTCTACAATCTCACCATCTTTCTCACTCATACTACCACTTCATTCATTGTTCTCACATGGCAATACTATCTTTCATAGGCTAAAAATGGTCAAAAGTCACAAGCTACCCACCTCATCTAGGTAAGTCTACTTCAGTTATTTGTAATATCACTCAGCAACAGACCTACTTTTATCTTAATACCACAGAAGTGTCTGTCTCTATAGAGAGAGACCCGCCAAGGACAGTATCAAGGACAGTGATAGGAGTCATCAGTAACAAGTTAGTGAATGGGGTAATGCCACTGTTTAAAAAAAAAAATTTGTTTCATCTCCCAAGTCCACCTCTCCAGTTACAGGTCTCCATGATTTAGCTATTCTTTCACTGAAAAAGAAAGTGGGGGGGAAGCACCACATCTACTCAAAGCTACTTTTTTTGTAGTCTTCAGTCATGCATTTAAAGACAATTTCAAGGCAGTTCTTCAGCTCTTATAAGACAGAACTTGACTTGACACAGCTTTGAGTATTTTCCTTTATACTTCTACAGAAGTAACTTTACAAAAATCCCACTGATAGAAGAGAATCTTGCACATATGTCTATACCATACAGGCAAGC